ATACACTCACACATTCACACACACTCATACACTCACACATTAAAGCCTTCTTTTTTTTTTTTTTTTTTAGACGGAGTCTCGCTCTGTAGCCCAGGCTGGAGTGCAGTGGCCGGATCTCAGCTCACTGCAAGCTCCGCCTCCCGGGTTCACGCCATTCTCCTGCCTCAGCCCCCGGAGTATCTGGGACTACAGGCGCCACCACCTCGCCCAGCTAGTTTTTTTGTATTTTTTTGTAGAGATGGGGTTTCACCGTGTTAGCCAGAATGGTCTCCATCTCCTGACCTCGTGATCCACCCGCCTCGGCCTCCCAAAGTGCTGGGATTACAGGCTTGAGCCACCGCGCCCGGCCCACTAAAAGCCTTCTAACACACTGAGCTTCAGCCTGTGGTCCCTTCTGACCCACAGGTCTTTTTCTCCGGAGCAGATGTTAAGCGAAATCCCGCTCACTCCAGACTTCCGGTCCTTTGAAGTGGAGGTGCCCTTGTGTGTCTTCAATCCGTGCGGAGGGTAGTCTGGCCCAAGCCACACCTGCTACCGTCACTGTCTCACATCAGCGGCCTCAGGCCACAAGGTCTCCCCACCTGGCTCCTTGGGGACTGCCAAGCGTTGCCAGCAGCCGGGCTATGCTGACCCAGGGCGAGTGGCCCGACCGGTTGCCACTGTCCTTGAGCTCCTTAAGTCCAGCCTTGGTCACGAGGACCTGCATCCGAGCCCAGAGGGCATCAGGTCCTGGAGGACGAGGAAGAGTCCCTTCTGGCTTCAGGCTGGGCTTGAGGACGGCAGCTCCGAGACGGCCCAGAGCGAGGCTTCAGTGCTGACTGCCGGAGCTGCGGGCCCTGTCCTCACAATGGCCGCACAGTGAGGCCCTGCTCCACGCCTGGGGGAGGGAACAGAGGCCCCGAAATCACAGAAGCAGGAACCCCAGGTTCACCAGTGGGGCCTGATCCGTTTTCTCTCAAACCCAGCTGCTGAAAACGACACCCACGCACCCTCGCTGGGCACAGCAGGTCAGAGGTCAGGTGGGCTGGTGCTCCATGGCCACGGTTCCAAGGCCAAGGTCAAGGTACTGCTGTCCTGGACCCCGGTCTGGGTTCTCCGGGGGAGTCCACGCCTGAGCTCAGCCAGGTGGTGCGATTCTGCTCCCTGCGGCCGCTGAGCCGTGGCCCCACTTCCCCGCTTTCGGGGTGCCACGTACCCCATGACGCCATCCCTCCCTCCGAGAAGTCAGCAGAGCAAGGTCCCTCTCAGGCTTCTGACCTGACCTCCCAACCTCCAGACGGAGAAGGCTCCCACACGAGGACATCTGTGATGATGCCAGGCCCCGAGGAATCCAGGGCGGTCCCTCTGCAGAGCCCCTGTGCCCTGGGAGGCACCTCACCCATGGCTCCAGGGGGTGAGGGGGGACCGTGGCACCTCTGGGGCTGACCCAGACCCGCAGGACACAGCGCCAGACCATGAGGTCTCAGCCTGCGGTCAGGCCACATGCACGGAAACCCAGGTTCCTGAATGGCCAGCCAGGGGCAAAGCCGGCCACTGAGTACGCGAGCAGGCTCTGGGGGACACGGTCCCGCTCCTTCAGGGGCCCAGAGGCTGTGGATGTGGAACTCAAGTATCCTCCTCTCAGCATCACCTCCCTGCCCCTCCCACGTCCTCCAAGTGGGGCAGGAGCTGCCTCACCAGAGCTGGGGGAGGGGGCCACAGATGCACCCCTGGGGAGGGGCAGCGGAGACTCCTGGCAGGAATGTGGCCAAGGTTTCTAGACCATCTGGTTTTTCAAGAGAAGCCACAAGTCTGGGTTTGGGGGTGGCAGCCCCTGATGTTCCAAAGTCGGCAAGCAGTTCAGGCAGCCACACCCCCACCCTGGGGCAGTGTTGGGCGCCCAGCCCTCAGGGTCACCCCGAGAGAGCGCCTGCCTCCACCTGGGGGCTCGCAGCTCCCCCGAGCTCCTGGTGGTCACCGTCATTCCAGGATCTGATAAAAGCCCCCGAAAATGCCCCTGGTCAGCCCAGCCACACCCGGGCAACACCAACAGCTATTCTCCGCCCAGCCCCAGCGCCCAGCGGAGACCCCCCCGCAGCTTCCGGGCCCCCCCAGCGAGAACATTCCGGTCACAGTGATGTCGCCCCGAGAAGCTCCTCGCCATCCCCCGTGGCCTTGGAACCCCCTTCACACCCACGGGTTCCAGGCACCCTGGCGACTGCCTGTTCCCACGGAGCCTGGCCCTCTCACAGCGCAGGGAGGCCGCGGTCATTGGGCACTGGTCCTGCGACCCGCTGCACCCGGCCCCTGGGCACTGGAGGCCAGGTGGTGAGCACAGCAGACCCCAGGGGCAGCCTTCCTCAGTTTACCTGACACGCACAGGAAGACGCCTCCTCGCTCCAGGCTGGACGGGCAGCCGACGACGGTACGGGGCCATGGCAGGGCAGGGACTTTCTCCGTGACCCTCCCCGGCTGCCCCTCCCCAGCAAGTGAGTCAGTTCCACAAACCTTTACTGCCCGCCAGGCCCGACGGCTCCCCGGCTCCCCCTCCCCACGCCCCAGCACCCAGGGCCTTGGCCCCAGGAGCCACAGCGGCAGCAACTCCTAGGAAACGTCAGGGACCCGCCTGCCAGAACCTGGCGCACATCACTTTCAAAACACAGCGGGGCCTGGAACCCACGCCAAGGCCGCCTCTTTCAGTTTCACTTGGGCGCTTGTTCTTGCGGGGGACGGAGGCTCATCGAAGGGCTCCGGGAAGCGCAGGCACGAGTCACGAAGCAGGTCACTGAGACAGCGGGGCACCAGGCCCGCCAGTCCCATCTATGACCCCAGCCAGGGCCCAGCACTCCCATGCCCTGCACTGCACAGTGCCTGCAGGGGAGCTGACTCCGCAATGACTCTCCGGGCCCCTCCTCCCGCCCCATCACTCATGGGGTTGTCCAGGGCGAGAGGCCCAGGAAAATCCGCAGGAGAGCCAGGGCACAGGGCACGTGTGCGGCCCCAGGCTGAGGCCTCCACGGGACTGAGCTTCAGGGCCACGCCACCACGCTGAGCTCTCAGAGGGCCTCCGCCTGGACCACCAGGCACCCTCAGGCTGACCGGACCCTGTGCACCACCCATGTGGCCCAAGGCCTGTCCCCCTCATGCCAGGAGTCCCCTAGGGCCCCTTTGAGCACAACGCAGCATTCCCTGCCCCCCGGAAGCAGCGAGTGGTTCAGGGGCAGAGCGGGGCCTGGCTGAGGGGCCCCTGGGGGGTGGGGTGACGCCATCACTGTTGCTGTCCTAGGGGCCGGGACAGGATGGCTGCCCAGCACCCCCTGATGCGAGCTGGCTGCAGGGCTGCCTGGCCGGTTCCTGGGGACACCACGTTCAACCCCGTAGTGACAACAGGGCATTCTGAAGGACAGGCAGGTCTTACTTTCTGTTAAACACTTATTTTCCCTGAGATACAATCCACACCAGGAGGGGCACCTGTCCGGAGCATCTGACTCAATGGTTTCAATGTATTCGGAGGCGGACCACCATAGCCTCTAATTCCAGAACATTCTGTTCCCCCCAAAACACAGCCCTGTTCCTAACAACAGTCACTCCCCATCCCCTACGGCCCCTGCAACCACATGTCCACTTCCCGTCTGTGGACTGCCCTGCTCTGAACACGTGACCACACGTCTACGTCCCATCTGTGGGCTGCTCTGCTGTGGACGCATCACATGAGCGGAGTCACGTGCGGTGGCCTTTTGTGTCTGGCGTCTCTCCGCGAGCACGCCTCCGCAGAGCATCCGTGCTGGGCGCACAGCAGATCTAACCTCCACCTCCTCACGGGGCCCAGGAGGCCCCGGGCCAGAGCAGATGAGGCCCACACGTCCGAAATCCCCGTCTTGGCCAGAACCCCAGGTTTGCCTTCGTCCCCAGGGCTGAGCCCTCTCCTGAGTCCTGGGCCCTGTGAAGGGTGACCGCACCTCCCAGCAAAGAGGCAAGGTGACCACGGAGCTGGCAGTCTGCTCTTCGTCCCAGCCCGAGGGTGCAGGTGCCAGCTGACCTCCCAGGGACTGGGAGCGAGAGCGCAGAGGTGAGGGGCAGGGCTGAGAGTCCCCCCACACTGCTGGGCGGACAGCGGGCAGGCCAGGACGAGAACCAGGTCGGGGTGACCTCGCTCTCAGGCTACAACAGGCAGCTGGACACACCCGGCCCTCCCCGTGTGCTGTCTGACCACACAGCCCTTGGCTGTGGAAAAAGTGACTGGAGGCACTCCAGGCCTGCCCACAACAAATCACACACACATGTGCACAGAGACACAGGCCACGCACATGTGCACATAACACATACAAACATACAAAACACATGTGCACAACACATGCACAGGCAGGCGTGCATGGAAACAGGCAGCATGCACACAACACACACCACACACACACACTGAACACGCGCATAACACGAGCACAGGTGCACAAGCAACATGTGTGCACACAACATGCACACAGAGTACACGTTTGCACAAGCACGGGTGCACAGGTGATACACACGCACCCACAACACACACGCACACACAAAACACGCGTGAGCAACACACGCAAGCACAAACATGCAACACACACATAACATGAGCACACACACAAAATACACACAACCAAAACACACACACAAAACACGCGTGAGCAACACACACGCGAGCACAGGCAACATGCAACACACACATAACATGAGCACACACACAAAATACACACAACAACCAAGACACACACACAATGCACGAGAATGGGCACACAGGCACGGGCAACACACAACAACATACATGCATGCATAACAGACTCATGAACATGGGTACACAGGTACACACACAACACACAAACAGGTGCACAGGTACACACACAACACACAAACACAGGTGCACAGGTACACACACAACACACAAACACAGGCGCACAGGTACACACACAACACACAAACACGGGTGCACAGGCACACACCGTGCACCCATAAAACACAGGCGTATGAAACACACAAACACCACACACATGCACAGGAGCACACAGCCACGAGCACGCACATTCACACACGGAGAA